TCATGGCAGGCAGATCGCTGCCCTCTCTAGCAACCACCCCAACCTGTAGCTCCAGAACGGCTGCCAAGAAGAGCCCACAGCCTGCAAGCTGTCGCAGATGAGCCGGCGGCCCCAACTCACACTCTGTGGCTGCGATAACTGAAGCCAGGTGCAATGTCTTTTTTGCTCCAGGAAGGAAAGCAGTATCTCTTGAACCAGGTGCATGGGTCCTTCTGGCCCAGGGCTGTGCAGGGAGCCACCATTCATTTCTTCCTTCCTGCCTCTCTCTCTCTCTCAGCAATCACAAATGTACAGAAAAGTTGCAAGTGCAAGACAAAAATATTTTTTTTCCTGAACCATTTGAGAGTAGTTGCCACAGGCTATCTCACCACCCGGGAATACTTTGGTGTGGTTTTCCTTTACCAGGATACAACCACCAAAGTCAAGAAATTAACATTGATACACTACTACCATCTAAAGTCAGACCACAATGAAGTTTCATCAGCTGTTCAGTAATATCATTTTTAACAAAAGGATTCAGTTTAGAACCACGTGTGGCATTTGGTTTTATGTGTCTCATGTCTGGAACAGTACCTCGTCTTTCCTTGACATGACAGTGATAATTTTGAAGACTTGGACCAATTATTTTGTATCTGTTCCTCTATTTGGGTTGTCTGATGTTTGCTCATGGCTAGAGACTGGTTATGCAGAAATATCAACAAGATGGGATGCTGTGTTCTTCTCAGTTTGGCCCATTACTGATGATGTTTCTTTATCTTTTTAAATGTTTTTTTTTTTTTTATTGGTTTTTTAGGGAGAGGGAGAGAGAGGCATTGATGTGAGAGAAACATGGATCCGTTGCCTCCCGTATGCTTACGCCCTGACCAGGAATCAAACCGATGACCTTTTGGTGCACAGGATGACGCTCTATCAACTGAGCCACACCAGCCAGTGCAAATGGTGATGTTTCTCTAACCACTTGATTAAGGTGGTGTCTGCCAGGTTCCTCCACTATACAGTTCCTCTCTACTCCCTGCTCTGACCTGCCAGGACACCCTCCTTGCCCTACCTTGGCACAGGCCAACGTCAGTGTGAACCTCCTTCCTCCTGGCTAGGGTTCTGATGCCTTCTCTCGGCACCACCCTGTTTCCACCTAACGGCTTTAGGACTGCATTGTTCAAGAAGAGGAAGGAGGAAAATGGGGAGAGAAAGAGCCTTCCGTCGCTTTTCCAAATTAACAATAGTGATTAATAGTAACAACCACTTGCACTCACAAGCTCATGGCGCCAGGCTAGGCCTAAGCACTTTAAGTCTTGTTGACTCATCGAATTTTCCTAACTGCCTACAGGATAGGGATGGATGCTGTTAGCCGCACTTCACAAACAGAACTGAAGTGCTGAGAGATGAAGCCACTTGCCCGGAGGCACACGGCTAGCAGCTGGCAGGCCAGGGTTTGATCCCAGGAGTCTGGCTCTAGTCACCCCCGTACTCCTCCACAGAAATTGCTCTTGCTTTGGCCATCCTTGATGTCCATGTTCCCAAATCCAATGGACAGGTGTCAGTCCTCATGTGTTAGCAGTGGGCCACTCCCTCTTGAAATCGCCTTTCTCTTGGATTCCACGAGAGCATGTGGTTGGTTTTCTCCCTGCTGCTGACCACTCTTCCCCTGCCTCCTTTGCCAGCTCCTACTACTTCTCTCTTCCTCTTGGGATTCTAATTGCTCAGGGCTTTGGCCCAAGTTCACGTCTATTCTGTTTTCATACATATTCCCATGTCTTTAAATATCGCTTGTGTGCTGACACTGTTGATATCTATCTTTAATATATTAAATTTATTACTATTTATTTAGCCCACATAAATAAATAATGAGTTTGAGCTTCCAAACTCATATTCAGCTGCCTACTTAGCATATGTGCTTGGTTTTCTCTCTTGAATCAACAGGTCCAAACTGAGCTATTCATCTTCTTTCCTTAAACTTGCACCTCCCCTGGTTTTCCTCAAATCAATAAATATGTCATCCCCACCCACCGGGCAGCTTGCAGCAGAAGCCTGAGAGCCATCACCGAGGCTCCTCACCACTCCCCCGGTCAGCTAGTTTCATTGCTTCTTCTTCCCAAATGTATCTTGTAATCTGTCTGAAATCTGTGACATTTTTGATTGTCACAACTGGGAATGAGAATGTGCCACTGGCATCTCATGTGTAGAGGCCAGGGATGCTGCTAAAATCCTATAATGCACAGGACAGAGCCCACAACGAAGAATTACCCCGCCCCAAGCCACCCTCATGTCTGCTTGGACCCTCCGACATTCTCCTGCTGGTCTCTGCTTCATTCCCTTCTCTACACGGTAGGCAGGGATCTTGGAGGACACACCGCCCAATCATATGGGTGCGCAGCGAAGACTCCCTCATGGCTTCCCACTGGGCTGAGACGAAGCATCCATTTCCTTGGCTCACAGCCCTGCATGCTGTGGCCCAGGCCTGCTTGTCCAACTTCATCTCCTGCCACTGTCCCCCTTGCCTGCCACACTCCATCCACTCCATTGTCCCCGTGATGAGCCTCCTGCCTCAGGGCCTTTGACGATGCAGTTTCTTCCTGATTGCTCTCTGCCTAATGCACACTCAACTCATCCTTCTCAAGGCAGATGTCAGCTCCTCAGGGACACCTGCTCCACTGTCCATTCCCTGACCTAAATCTAGTTCCCTCATTTCTTTCATAAAATTCAGCATATTCTTCATAGGACTTAGCATATTTTGGTTTAATAAAATGTTCGCTTGCCACTGGGCTCAGGCCTCAGATATCTTCTCTCTATAGTTTTAGAAATATTAAGGTCAGTTGTTCTCAACGGGGGAGGTTCTTTCTCAGGGGACATTTGGAAATGTCTGGGAACATTTTTTAAAAATCCTCACCCTAGGATATGTTTCCATTGATTTTAGAGAGAGAGGAAGGGGGGGGAGAGAGAGAGACACATTGATCAGTTGCCTTTCATATGCGCCCCAATCGGGGATCAAACCTGCAACCTAGGTATGTGCCCTGATGGGGAACTGAACCCGCAACCCTTTGGTATACAGGATCATGCTCCAATCAACTGAGCCACCGGCCAGGACTGGAGACATTTTTTATTGTCACAACTGGGAATGAGAATGTGCTACTGGCATCTTGTGTGTAGAGGCCAGAGATGCTGCTAAAACCCTATAATGCACAGGATGGAGCCCACAACGAAGAATTACCCCGCCCCAAGATGTTAGCAGTGGGGAGGCTGGGGCATGTGCCCAGATGAGCTCACAGAGTCTTGTGCCTTTAAATATCATCTATATGCGGAAGTTTCCAAATTCCCCTCTCCATCCCAGACTTATATACCTGACTACCCACCTGACATCTCACCTGGATGCCTGAAGCAGCACATCCAGCTCAACATGCCTGCCTCCCCCTACTCACCCCTTCTAATTGCTCAGGTTAAAAACAACGGCGGTATTCCTGACTTTTCTCTCACACTCCACATCCAGTCCAGCAAATCCTTGCAGCAGTTTCCTCAAAACATATCCAGCTTTCACCACTTCCCACCAGTTCACTGCTGCCACCTTGGGCTCCTCCACACCTCTCCCCTCAGCACTAGGCTCCCTGTTGCCTACCTCATCCCTCTACAGTATATTCTCAACCCAACACCCACAGTGATCTTTTAAAAATACAAATAGATCATATCACTCCTTCGCACAAAACCTTCCAATGGTTTACCATGTTATGGAGATAAAACTAAAGTTTTTATAGTGTGGCCTTCCTTACTATACTCCTTCTCTCCCCTTTACTCACTTTGCTCCAGCAGCACCAGCCTACTTGTTCTTCAAATACGCCAAGTGTGCCAGTGCCTCAGGGCCTTTGCACTGGCTACCCCTCTTCCCAGACAGCTGCATGGCTTGCCTTCCTCACATCCTGTGGGTCTCTGCACAAAAGGCCCCTTCTCAGCGAAGCCTTTCCTGACCAACCCATGCAAAATAATAGCTCCCAGCCTCCTTACCTGCTTTATTTTTGCCCAGAGGATGTTATCACCACCTGGCATACATACTACACACTGACTTCTTTACCTGTTAATCGCCTGCTCCCCCACTCTAGACTGTATGGAGGGGATATGCCTGTTCATTCACTGTTGTATACTCTGTGCCCGACACAGTGCTGGGCACAAGAGGAGACAAATCTGCTCAGTGAATGAATGAGTATCACCTCCAGTGCGCAGAGGGTTTAAGTAACTCACCCGAATGAAACTGGCAGAGCCAGTTCCCACCCGTCCCAGACCTGCAGGCTACTTCACTGCCCACTCTCCAAGGCAGGGGAAGATTGCTTAGGGTGGGGATATGGTGACTTGAGGAGCAGAGTGGAGTTTATTTTCTGACAAGAAGGGCCTCAGGGCCCAGGAGACCCTGAGAGTTTTGAGGGGCAAGATATCTGAATGGGCAGCGGCTTCCTGGGTTCACCTTTGCGGCATCCCAGGCATAAGAACCCTGAGCGGGAAAGGCGTCAGCTTGAGTGGCAAACTCGCCAGTTCCCCCAGCTACCGGCCTTCGGCTGCCTGGGGGCCTGGAGCAATCCCCCACTCCCTGGGAGACAGAGGAGCCACACCCGGCCACGGCCCTGCTGCATGGAGGATGCCAACACGGCAGCTCCAGAGGTCACCTCACAGGTTTCCCACAAGGGATCCCAGCTGGGAGGGGCATTGTCTCGGCCCCCACCTGGCCCAGACAGCCCATGCCAGCCCAGCCCGTCCACGGTGGGGCCCCTCGCACTCACTCTGCCACTCGGTGATGGAGACCATGCCGCGGGCTGCCTGGGGGGCCTTCGGGGGTGGAAGCTGGCCAGGGCGAGCAGTGCAGAGAACCGAGCCTGTACATGCTCAAGGGAAGCTGACCCTTGGTAAGTTGTGAAAGGAGCCTCTGGTAAATCATTAACCCTCCCCCCACTGCACACACCCGCACACACATACGGCTGTTGAAAGTCACAGGCTCCC